TCAGTTGGGGCCATCTTCCCAATGTATTCTTGGATGTTCGTTGTCTCATCCTGGACTGTGTTGCTGACACTCACCAGCTGTTACCTCTAAAGAGCATTTTGTTGTTATTATTATATTTTTTGCTTCAAGCATTTAAATCATGGTTTGAGCCAACTTAAATGGAGGCTCCCAGGGAGATGGAGGACACGTTTCATACACAGTGACCTGCAGTACTCACTCATCAGGGCAAATAGTGTTCAAATGTCACCAAATACACATTTGGCACCAAATGTCCATTCCTCTTATTTTTATGTAGACTTGCAATAATCAGCATGAACAATATATGTGTGACTGCTGTGTGCAGGAAACAGATTTAGGCAGAGGTCAGCTTCTGGCCCCGCACTGTCTAAATGATTCAACATGAAAATGGAGGAGTGATGTCATTTCAGTGCTGCAGAACCCACGGCGTGGATAAAAATAGGTGAATCCGTGTGGCTCAGACCGAATCGCAATGTCCCATCTAGTCCTTTGTCAACACAAATGAGCCCGGCCACAAGAGATGGGAGTGAATAATGTAGGGAGCACAGGGCAGATATCTTCAGCCCAGTCGATTTCAGCGCACCTCGTCCATGAAATATTGAGATGGCGTCCGTGAGTGCGCTAGTATGAGGTTTCAGTGACTGCAGCTGCAGGATGGCTGCTGCTGTGGTAGGACCAATAGGATGCGAGAATGCAGTTTGAAGTGCGGCGCATAGGCTGTGTTTGGAAATCAACCTCGTCAGCAAGAATGTCAGTGTGAGCTAATGAGTCTCCAGTCACTCGCGGTGGAATCATTTTGCATTATGTGGTTACAACAGTTTATTTAGGCTGGAGTCTGACACTGAGCAGGAAGGTCTCCTGCACTCTGGAGATCTTTATTTGCACGAGGGAGGGGCCATGGCAGATGTCCTGTAGTCCACCTCCTTTTCTGTCGTTTAGTTATTCCTCCTACTCTGTAACAGTCAGCATTGTTTGTCTTTTCTGTTTCTTTCATTTATGTACAGAAACCCCTCTAAAACCATGAATACATAATTATGTATGATGAAGAAAAGCACTGACCTGACATTAGTTTGGCTTTGTTAAGTAGTTATGAAAACATAATACAGCAGTGTCCTTTTTAATTGTGAAAACCTGTACAAAGACAGTTAAGTTCCTCATTGAAAAGGTGCAGTAGGTCAAGTGGAAGATTAAAGTTGTTGCATCTAGGCTGACACTTGCGAGTAGGAGTGAGTGCTTTTATATCTCTGGGGCTCAAAATTTGCATGTTAGACAA